AGGCCATCGCTATTAGGTGGAGGCCATCGCTATTAGGTGGAGGCCATTACTAGTAGGAGGACTTATGTTACATTATTTGTTCCAAAAGAATCCTTAGTGACCGACTGCGATAACTTGAAATTACCCACGTTAAGAAACTTAGGACTGGCAATCAACACCTGAGGGCCCTATTAGGCCCTAAAAACTGAAAGAATGCCAAGAAAGTGATGCTAAGAAAGCCCTGCCAGAAAAGTGAGCCTGAAAGGTTTGCCGTCACATCGTATTTGGAAAAGGAATAAGTCGGCAAAATTGTTTGAGCAAATCTATCGCGATGCTTTGCCATTCTTAATTCCAACCAAAGACGTTAATTTTCCTTAAAAATCTAGAAACCAAATGAATAGAAGCGTGAGCTATCCTGCGTCCATATGTAGTAGCTTACTGTTACTTGTAGGTACTAGCTACTCCCTAGCTTCTACCTCCTACCTCTACATGCCTCTACACGGCCTACCCCCCAGAACGTCCAATTCTGAGAGGTGCAAATCCTCCCGCTGGTGAAGTGGCAGGTTGATGTTAGTGAACTGGTGCGGCGCATCCTTTTTCGGTAGTTCACTCCTGAAGTAGAAGCCTTTCCGCTCTGTGTGAAAGTGAAATGGCACCTGATCGCCCAGGGTGGCATCGGCTTTGGGTGCTGAAGTGGTATGGCACTGTTGGTAAAGCGGTGGGTGTTTCAATCGCATTGTTAACCGATAGCATCCGCTGGTGAAGTGGCAAGCCTCCACCGCTATATTGTTGTTGTTGGCACATCCAAGTGGCAGTGTTTCTGCTCGTGAAGCGATATGCCTTTTACAAGGGACGAAGGGGAGTTGAACTTACGGAAAGCATCACGCAATTGAGAACAAAACTCCTGGACTCATGGCATACCCAACAGCAAACTTGATTAAAGCAAGTGAAGCTCCTTCTATGTAAATACAGATACAGATTTTGTCAGAAGTGTGTGCCAGGGAATCGAATTGAAATAGGTTCTTCGAGGATCATGAATACTTAAAGAATAATGTCAGAATACTGCATCCCTATCCCTACTCTCAGCCTTGGAGCGTGTCATGTTCTCCTTCTTCGGGGAAGTAGGTTGTTCCTCCTCCAGTTTCCTGCCACGGACGGACGAACCCAAGAAGCACAAACAAAAAGTGTTGAAGCTGTTCCAAACCTAGGGATTGTTGTTTAAGAAATTGAAGAAATTGTGTTCTTTCCTTTCTCTTCTGGGGATGTTTTTTAACTTCCTTTATCGAAGGGTCGAGGGAATCCCCGTTTTCCTCGTCTTCGTCTTCTTCCTCCACTTCCACTGGGTTACTTTCTTTTAACTCTAAACATGCACTTCGTGCCGGGTCACTCCAAAGCGGCTTGGACTGCCAGCTGCGTGAGCTCGGACACGCGCCCCGACGTTGAGCTCGGGGGAGGCGGCGCGGCCGGCGAGGTCGGCTGAGTCAAGTTGACTCCCATGAGCTGCAGCGGTTTCTGTGCCTCCCAAAGCCGGGAGTGAAAGCGCAAGAGCACATGGCCTCCAACCTAGAAGCAATGGCCTCCCCTAATAGTGATGGCCTCTAACCCAGTAGCATGGGTTTTACCCGGCACCGAATATGTTTTGAAAGTTCATGCTGGGTGTAGTTGGCGTCTTCAAAAAAAAATCGCTCTGACACTCTGACATAAATAGATAAACACAGGGGCGTGTAAGGTCTTGCACAAAATCTATTGGAGTTGGCAAGTGTTAGCCCACCGCCCACAACATGTCACTGTCACAATGATTTCGAACCTTCTTTCCGTGTGCCGAGTTGGTTGCGTTTTGGGAACAATTGTCTGATGACTTAGTCAAGCAAGTAATCCATGTTTTAGTCAACCCCTCCCCCAACCAGAAACCCTGCAAAAAACTATCAAAACCAAGAAACAATCACTGAACATCTACAAAAAAATAACAACATACAATTGCAAAAAATTATCCTTCATGGGAGTCACTTCACACACGAATCGCACTCATACACTGAGTGAATCCAAAAGCTACAGACTGGGGTATAGAGGTTCAGAGTTTGTTGGAAATTTGCAAGTTGCATAGGGAAGGATATAGTTCCCTTCGCTCAAGAGAGTTGATGCTGTGACAACTGGGTATCTTTTGAGTTGGACAATATATCAGCATAAAAAAACATATCGCAATTTGAACAAAAACATTGTCTATTAAAAAAGGTTCTTTGGTTGTCTTCATCAAACAATCTTAGGTTGGCCTTGAAAAGACCACTGTCCTGTGTGTAAAGGGACTGTGTGTGAAGGAATGCCGGCGATGTTTGATACCAAAAAACCTGTTTTCAAACGTATCCAGATTATCCAATTCAATACCAAAATCAATTAGCATGTTTTCTGAAACATATTTAACAAGGTAAACAACAATAGCCGATGTACAGGGTGGTTTGTTCGGCCTATTGTGGGAGACGGGCTGCTCCAGCGACATGTTGCGAAAATTGTCAAAACCAAAGGAGGGGGCGTTGGCAACATGTGTTCCCATGACAAAGCAACACGCACGCAGGCTTTTCAACGTGTCCAACATCAAACAATTAAACACATCTAACCTCACATTTGGAAAAATGTAGCAAAGCGCGCGCCGATTCTCCAGCTCAAAAATAAAGTTGAACACACCTGTCAACCTGAAGTGAAATGCAAGTGCACACGCGAACAGGGTTGTCTTACGTCACACCCATATGCTCTACGACAAAATGCACATCCTGTTCAAGGACTGCATCCTCGCACTGCGGATGAGAGAATGGCATTCTGTTGCATTTCAAAGGTCAATTCACTATTCAGCGCCTCTCTCAGCTCTTAAAGTCCATATAAGTCCATCAAGTCGTCTCTGCGAGCTGCTTTTTCGATCACGCAGCCCACCGATCTTCTGACACAGGCGGTGCACCATGTTGGAGTCGCCTGGCCCTTCGGTTTGTATTTTGCTGCGTTCCATTTCACAATCGTCCACATTCCCGAGGCCACGCCCAAGGCTCCAAGCGCGCTCAGGGCGACGGCGCTCTACATTGCGTCGTCGGCTTGCATCGTCATTGACCTGGCAGCTGAGGAATTGGTGCTGGCGTTGACTTTCGCTGTCTCCTTGTCCTTGGCCATGAACTCGACCATTTGCTTCGCAAACAAAGCTTCTCAACATCCAGCAACAATCGCTGCGGTCTCTGCTTCTCCACTGTGCAATGGCCTTCTGACTCCTGGCCTTGCTCTCAATGAGACAAGCGTCAAGGAAAATGTGAAAGCAGGTAATTTGCATCCTTCTCAACGAGGCGGCGGCCATTCTGCGGCTCAGCCAACGTCGTCCATGCCCCCTCTGTTGAGGGCTGCCACACCTTTCTGCGTCTTCCTCTGATGGCATCTGGACCACGCCAGGCGTCAGCATAGGGATCTCAGGGAATGATGATGAGAAGCAGAGGACGAGAGGATTCCGTGCAAGGATTGTCAGCCAGAGGATGAGCAAACTCGGGCGCGAACATGTCAGCCGAGGCAAGTGTTGCGGGGGCTTGTAATGAGAATGGAAAGGTGAAGATGGTAGACGCCCAAGGCAAAGTCATTTCCTCAGCAGGAGTGACGAAGGCACAGCTCACACTCAGAACACCTGTTAAGCAGCTCGAAATTCAAGGGCAACTTGCCCTTGGCCAGGTATTGCTTTCTGCAAGAAGCTCCTGTCCCGTGGGTTTGAGGTCTGCAGCCTGCGGCAACCCGAAGACAGACAGGAGGGTTCCACTGCACATAGAGAACAACAGCGTACACCTGGAGGCCAAATTGAGACGGTGAGCGTTTGCAGAGTTGATGAAGACGACCGTTGAAGACAAATGAGGGGAAGAAGGCGAGGAAGACGTGAGTGACGATGATGCAACAAGCCATTGAGACCATTGCGCGAAGTCCGGGATGGCATCGCCTTCCCAGTGGCGTAGCTGCGCGCACAGATGAGACAACCGACAAGTACCTCAACCCAGAAGGCATGTTGAATGAGAAATTGAAGGAAAAAAGGCGTCTCGCGTCACACTGAGAATTCAATCCACTAACGCTTCAGATATTTGGCGCTGTCATGGGCTCCACAAAGGACATTGACATTTCTGTCACCTTCAGACTTCGAAATTTCCAAATTTCTATGAAGGAGGCAGTGAAGGTGAACGATGCGCTTCGTCAGACAGAGTGTGAAGACGATGAATTCGACGCAGGTGAAGCAAATGAGCATTAGCCATGGAAGAATGGAAGAGCCACAGCGTCGCGAACGCGATCCGCAGAGGGAAGTTGCCTTGACATTGACTGAAGCCAGCGTGCACAGAAAGAGGCTTTCCAACCAGCAGTACCAAGAACAGACCTCTTGCAAGGCTTCGCAACTTCAAACTGCGGCTGCAGTGGGAGATCGACGCTGGAGATGCCAGCACGGAAGTCTAAGTGCAGGGTCACCGCATCCTGACACGCATCGCTGTGAGGCCTTGGCCACGAGGTCCAAGGAGGATTGGCATAAGTTGAAAGACCGCAAGGAAAAGACGGCCCTGTCCTTCAGTTTGCCTGCGCCTTCACCAATGAGAAAACTATGAAGCGGTGTTGGGCGAGCGCGCAAAGCCACCAGAGCGGCGCGACTGCGGTAGCCGAAAGCCGCGCTAGCACTTCCAGTATTGCGCCGGCTGAAGGCACAGCCAGTCTCAAGCATGTTGTTCGGGCAGATGGTGAGCGAAGTTGTTTGCAAATTTTGCAGGCAACTCAACAGACAAGAGCCAGGCTGAATCTGAAGACAGAAATCCGCATCGCGGACAGAGACCAACGCCAGAGCAATGGTGCAGCAGAACGCGCAGTACAAAGTGTGAACAAATGGGCAACTGCATTCGTGAGTTCTGCAAGAAAGGCGTCGACGTTGCATCGGCGGAGAGACGCGCGCAGGATGGCTCCTCAACCGCTTCAGAGTTTTGCAGCCTGCCCGAGAAGAAGACGTTTTGGAAGGCAATACAGACGCAGCGATTGCGCCTTTGGCGAGTCCGTCCCAAAAAAGCTCAGAGTCCATGCAGGGAGACGCAGCCCTAAAGAGAGGTGCCTGAGTAGGCACAGCTCAGCTGGCGAGGGCGCCGCGAGATCCCTTACACCATCAGGCGCAGCGCAGGAGCAACAGACGACCCCTGGCAGTTCAACAGCATCGACGTTTGTTTCCGAACGAAGAAAGGGTGTTCTGAAAAAGAGACGGGAGGCGATCCCCGCTACAGATGCCACGGAAAAGGAAACCATGGGCGTGACCAAGCAGTCAGATACTGCCATAGGTTTTGTCGCCCCGATGATTGAGGAGGATTCACCACACCTCGCGCGCCAATGACACCATGACCACAGAAGGAAATGACATTGAGGATCACGCAGAAGCCGATGTGATGAAAAGGGACTATGTTGGGAAGAGCCAGACGCGACGGTCACCGTGGGGGAAGAGGAGATGCTGGCTGAGCACACTCCAAGAAGGGCGCAATGGTTGAGGAGCGTGAAACATTTGCACCTACACTGGCATCAGTTGTTAGTTGTTCCAAGGTTCTTCCCATTCATTTTGGCAGCTGATGATTGCTGATGCGCAAGGTGCTTTCTTCGCGTCGAAACAATCTGAGGGCAAGAAGAGCGCCATCAAGTACCATGACAGGGCCGACCGTTTTGAGAGACGCCTTCCAGGCCAAAGAACAGCGGCGTTGGTACGATGGTGTACATTAGCGGCGAGAGCGGGCCTTCCTTGCATTCAGCCTGGGAGCGGGCTACGTTTCAAGAGATCTCGATGACATAGCCTGACACGCCGTCTGTACCTCCTAAGCCTTCCGTGCGCTCCAGCACTCACGCGCTAGGCGCCCCCGCTTTCCACAATTGTGGCATACGGGGCAGTCGTCTTTCCCCTGGCCATCTTTGCCCTTGCCCTTGCCTGTGGACTTCAAACTTGCCTTTGCTCCATGTCCCCTGTGATTGAGAAGCTCTTTCCTTCCCCATCATCTTGTCCTTTTCCTTTCTCCGACCATATCAACCTCCATGGGGCTCCATGGGCGTTGATTCCTCTGCCTGTCTCAATCGTCTGCTAGAAATTCGAGAAATCCCATCTCTTCGCTATCTTGTCCTTCGGCGGTTCGTCGTCTTTGTCATCTGCTTCTGAACTTCAGCCCTCAGCGACTGGTAGAGACTGACGGATTGCTGCTATCATACACGGCCATACGTGGGACTCTTGATTTGTTGAAGGAAAGGTCAGGCGCGCGCGTCCCTTGTTTTCTCATCCACACTTCTGCCAGCACCAGCGCACCCAGAACTGAACACGCGCAGGGTCCAGAAACACGGTCTCCTTGACTCGCCCTACTTGTAGTCGAGGTCGTCGTCCGGAGCCCCCTGCTACCGTGCAGCGACGCGCGCCGATTTTCCAGCTTTAAACAGAGCCTGAACACCCGTCAGCCTGAAGTGAATCGCAACAAGCGCGCGCATAAACAGGGTCGTCTTATGATTCTTACGTCGCATCCGCACGCTCTATCAACTACTTTAAAACAACATCCGCGCGCTTCCGAAGCCAGTCGCATTGTCTGGACGTTCGGTAACGGGGTTCTACCTCTCTGACACTCCTCTCCTCTCGGCCTTGCCTTTTGAACACCCCAAACGGCCGAACCCCGTCGCATATCGATGAGCATGCCTTTCCAATTGTCATGATATCCAATGTACGCAAAGCGACATGAATGAAGGTAAATGATATGTTGAACCAAATCAAAAACGTGCTGTTTAAAGAGAAAACGCCTTCCAATCGCCCAAGTCGGCGCAGGTCAAAAAGCAAGATCGAAAGGTCGACTTCAATCGCGTCGCCTGCGCTGCATCTCGGCCACCACGAGCGAACGCCATCATCCCGTCTGGCCGTCGCTGCAGCTCCTCTGGCCGCCGGTGGTCCAACTCAGCCTCGAAGCCCTTCACAGCACAGGGGGGAGACTGCAGTGAAGAAAGCAAAGATCAAGAAAAGCTGTGTTAAGAAGATGGAACCACGAACCCGCACGCACTCCAAAACAACCACCCAAACAATTTTTGACACTCTTGTGGGGCGCACGCTTTTCGGAAACCTCTGTGGGGCACTCTTGCGCGCTCTTGTGAGACACCTTGTATGACACTCATGTGGGACACCCTTGCGGAACACTCTTGTAGGACACTCTTGTAGAACACTCTTGTCTCTCGTGGGACCTTCTCGTCTGACACGGGACACTCTTGCAGAACACTCTTGTAGGACACTCTTGCGGGACACTCTCGTAGGACACTCTTGCGGGACACTCTTGTGCGTCACTCTGGTGGGACACTCTCGTAGGACACTCTTGTCGGGCACTCTTCTGGGGGACTCTTGCGGAACACTCTTGTGGGACACTCTTATATGACACTCTCGCGGGACACTCTTGCGGGACACTCTCGTAGGCCACTTTTGCGGGACACTCTTGTAGGAAACTCTAGTTGTCAAGTCTCCAAAACGAGCGTTTCGTGCGAGACTTCCTCAAAAACAAATTCTTCAAGTCTGCAAAGCGAGTGTTTCGTACGAGACTTCCTCCAAATCCTCCAAAATCGTGCAAGGCTTCCTCCAGAACTCACACTTCGACAACGAGCGTTTCGCGCAAGACTTCCTCCATTCGTACAAGGCTTCAGCGGCAAGGCCCCATCGGACCGCACACACGCCAACCAATGCCACGGAGACTCCGCCACAACTCGCAACCTCGCGATACCCAGCGCCTGCCACGAAAATTTGCACGCCCGCACCTGCAACAAGCACACAAGTACTGCGCCTGCCACGAAATATGCGATCTCCGAATTGCTTCCACACCTCAAAACCCGCGCGAAGTACTGAGCCTGCCACGAAAAGTGACAATATCATAGCATGTTGGCTTCAACAAAATTTGCGCCGCGCAACACCATTTGGAATAATTTTCACACGTTCTGAGCGCACGCCTATCCACCAAAAACGCCATTTGAGCTGAGACTTGTCACGAAAACACTGTGCCACATCTGACAAGCACACCACTCTCCAAACGCACGTATCCACACGATTCCTTGCTATTTCAGAGGAAAATTGCACATCATGCTTCCCCAAAACCTTCCCCCAATGGTTGCGGTCGCTACGACAACAAGTCGCGAACATGGCCCTACCCCCAGACCCCCACGTTAAACGAGAACCCTTCGTTACGCATTCGGGAATAAAAACCGTTACCACAAAAGAATATCTATATATATATATACGTGCGTGTGTGTGAGTGTAACTTGTTCAAGGCAATCGTTTGCAAGCCGGTTGTTGTCACACCCCGGCGTCGCGGATGTCCTTTCTTTGGCGAAGACGATGGTGTAGCGTTGCTTCTGCACACCCTATGCGTGTGTGGCGTTGTTCTGTACGCGGACGACTGGTCAGATATTAGGTCTCTTGCTTGGAAAGCGTGGTGGGAAGGCTTTGCACGAATCGCGCCGCCACATTCTGAGCGCGCAGACCGACCCCGTGATGTCATGGCAAGCCGGCAAGCCGAGATTGAAGTCAACATCGCAGTTGCTCACGATGCTGCACAGCGAAAAATGTGAATATGAGGGGTTGACCGCTCTGTTGATTGTTGGCCATGGACGGACGGTGCCCTGCGAGCGAGACACAATGGCACGGCCCAAGTCTGCTACGATGAGTCTGACTCTTGCTAGTAGAGGTGGCAAGAGTGAGTGCCCAAGTGCTTCAGTGCAGCGGAGCGGTTGGTCTCGCTCTTTGTGTGGGGCTGTAGTCTATATAAGTTGTAAAAAGTTGTACAAATTTCGACTGCCCCACGCCCTTGTCGGCCTTGTCAGCGTGTCTAATGGGTGGCGCTGTTTGTTTTCTTATGGTGTGTATTGCGCTGTAGCTGTAGAGTATTTTGGACGGGGTGTTGCTTCCTTTTCGTCTTGTTCTTTGGCCTCGTGCTCCGGAAAGCTCCGTGATTCTCCGGGCCTAGGACATAGTTCGTCCTCTTCATCTTGTTTGTCCACTTTGTCCTCATCCTTCAGTCCGATATGCTGGGCCCAACCCTAGGCTTCAACGGCTTCAACCAGCGGTTGTATGACTGCGGACATCACAATGGCCTCCCGGCCACCGGCTAGTGAGAGGCTCCAGATTCAATTGCCGATGCTGCTTAATTATTCCGGTCACCGTACAGTAGGTTGTCCGTTTTCGTACAAGGAATGCATAACCATGTGAAGTTCAGGCATTGGGCCCTGTCTTTGTAGCTAATTTCTTGCGCGTGGTGTGATTTGACTCGTTCAGCCTGGCTCGCCCAATAAATGGGAAAGATTGGGGGTTGAGCCAGGTCAATGTTGAATAATTAGGCGCTGCAGCCACAAACGAGTCTTTGGCAAGCGCAAGAGGAAAGAGAGGAGACGATAATGTTGTGTGTGTATCTATATATATATATATATCGATGTGTTTGTGTATATTATCTATATTATCATTGTTTGTGTATGTACGCATATGCGGCCATCAACTTAGTTTACACTAACAGCGGTTGACAAAATAGACAAACCTAAGCAAGAACCATGAACACTATATTAAAGTGTTCCATGATGCTTTGCTAAAAGATCTTCTAACGACTCCTTGCAAATTTAATTCTATAAACCGATATAAACCTGTCCACCTTGTCTTGTCGCAATTGCTGACGGCGTCGTGCAGCAGCTACCAGGTGCTGGTTGGAGACGTCTTTTGAGGCCTCAAGTGGATCGGGGAAAGGCCTCTCTTGGCGGTTGAACAAGGGGGCTGACGCTGCCAGTTGATCAAAGAAACAGGCAGATCACGCCTTTCACGGCTTTCTTTTGTCCTATTGCGCCACGCTACCACGCTTGCCACGAAAAATGGACTGCAAATGAGAACAACTTGTTTGGAACAAAGGAAGGTAAAGGCTCTTTGAGGGCCAATGAAAGGTACGAGTATTCTCATTTTGGTAGCCGGCTGGACCTCACCAAGAGGCTGGTACGAGGTGCGAGGTGGTCCCATCTGGTCTGTGAGACCTCGCACAGCGACACAAACCAGAACTTCCGGACAGTCCTTCCTTTTAGAGAACAGCGGTTGGCCTCTCTGGAAAATGTAGAGAGGCAGAAAGGATGAGGTTGGGCATGGATTTCACGCCTTGAATCGTATCATCTTTAAACGTATCCTATTGGTTGTTGAAGTCCCGCACAACAGCATAACTACCACTGCAAGCACATGACTTGCAGTTCAAGATTTTGTCATGAAACCACAGAACTAAGTCTTCCCGAACATCTAGGAACCAAATCATTAGTGCGAGCGCTTCTTCAAGCAAGCTCTACCCCCCTCAAGCGGAGGGAGGAGCTTCCTTGAAGAAGCGTGAGCTATCCTGCTACAAACTATCCTACTTAATTAAGTAGGCAGTCTCTACTTAAGTAAGGAGGCATGGCCGGGCAGGTTTTTTCAAATGATGTCTCAAGATCTCTAAAGGGCCAAGACACCCGCTGCTTCCAGGCGCTGCAGGGGAGGTACGTTGAATGAGGAGCTCCAGCGCCTCAAGGCCAACTGCAACATGTCAAAGAAACACCAGAGGAAGATTGTGTTTTCCCAATGTTCTTTTGCATGTAAACCAAAGAAAGAACTTAGGAAAAAAGGTCCAACTGACCGAACAGAGCTGTCCGACGAAAAAAGAAAAAACTATCAAATATCGATGTATCGCCCTCCACTCCATCCCAACCAACGTTTAAAAAGATATCCGATTGACAAAATGAGAGTGAGGCAAATTCATCCAGCCAAGTCACAGGTTCTGTCTCAATGTCGCTTGACCTCAGCTGTCCGGATCATATCACATGTGGAAATCGCATGAAATCACCCAAAAAAGTCGATCGGGATGGATATATTATAAGAACTTAAAAGCTCTGTCAGGCTGTGTCCATCATCTTGTCAGAAGTTATATGGTTTTGGCCTAATTGCAAATATTTTGAGTTGACTTCCGCGAAATACCATTTTGCCAAGCAGCGACAACCGGACCCTGCGTTGTTCCCTGGTGAGGGCAGCAAGCGGCAAGCAAAATGACCCTTCCGTTTAGCAAGATTTCTCCTTCTTTTATACAAAAGGAACCGCTTCCCTTTTTCATCATTGCCCCAGCGTCCCAAATTGGTTCCCTCCCGCGTGATGTGGTTTCGGAAATTAAAACACGGATGAACTGTTACGAAACGACATGGCGCCGTGGCGGTCCACCTCGCCTGGCCGGCTGGGCCAAAATGTAGGGCGTCCCCTTCTGAGCATCCATCTGGGCGAACCGGAAGAGAGCACATGTGAACCAAACATGAGACGGGCCACAAAAAATCGTAACCCCTCGCGTAATGCCAACAGTACACGCACCAAACAAAAGACTGGACCAGATTTAGTAGTAACAAAACCATTTCAGCCATCAGGAAATTGCAATACAGACCAACCGAAACTTTGACTCTACGTTGCTCCCTCTCTCTGCTCGTAATTGCGAAGGCGAATGGAAATGTGCGAGCAGTTGCGCTCGTCTTGAACTTCAGCTTCGGCGTTTGCAACAAGTTTTCGAGCCGATGAATGCAAAACGCTACACTTAACATCCACATAGTATCATGAAATATGCATGATATGAGTCAAGAACCATCTGCGCGTTTACAGTTTTAGAGCTTCAATCATCATGGACGCGCATTTTTGGCACATCCCTCCCGGGTTCCATGAAAGAGAGGTCTCGTGTCTTCGCGCTGGTTGGATTCTGACCCTTCGGGGCCCAGATATGGTGAGTCGCTTGTCCATTATCACACCAATCTGCACCTGCAGAGCCCCAACCCCACACCTTTTTTTCATCTGTAAACTGCGGAGAACACCCACCGCTTCCAATAAACCAAAAGTTCCTTTCCCTTGCTGCCTCGTTTCTAACACGTTCAAGATGAGAGGGGCCCCACGAAGTTCTTTCTTACACCCGCCCTTTTCTTGGCTGACAACTGATTTGTTAGCCACTAGCACCACTGACGATTTCAATCAACCTGAGAAAGCCAGTTCGCCAAATAGCCTGTTATCGCACAGCTCGCAACACTGGCCCTCCACCACCTTTCGTTTCGATAGCTTATGTCCGCGCATGTCGAGAAAGGGAAAACACTTACTTGCCCCCTCTCCGGTCACAGTGTTCCATGCCCCGCTTCTCCACTACTTAAACCTGTCCCAGCGCTTCATCCCTGGGAGCTGCCCCGCAGACACCCTCTGATGGATCTCCGACCCCTGTTGGTGTTGAGGCTGAATTGCAAGCACACCACCTCTATCAGTACCAGCCAACTGCTGCTCTTCCGGGCTGTTATTTGGCAGCCCGCCCATATATGCACTCTAGGCGTCAAACAGGAAGGGGGCCACGGCTGGAAAGGCTTGCACAGAGTTGGCTGCGTCAAAGCTGCGCTACTTTTCCTCTTCCTTTCCCTCCACACAGGGATTCATACGCTGAGGTCCACATCCCCACCTTTGCGACCTCATATCTTCATCTTGACATCCCCTTGTCGGCCATCTCCTTGATCCAACCTTGATGTCTGCGCGTCCGTGGGCGGTTGCTCTTCTTCTTCTTCCTTCCTTCCTTCCTTTCTGTCTGTCTGTCTGTCTGTCTTTCTTTCTTTATCTATTTACTTATTTATTTATTTATTTAGTTCGGTCTTTCTTTCTGTCTGTCTTTCTTTCTGTGTTTCTTTCTATCTTTCTGTCTGTCTGTCTGTCTGTCCCTCTGTCTGTCTGCTTGTATTTAATTCTTTATTTCTGTATTTATTTGTTTTCTTTCTTCTTCCTTCTTCTTCTGCTTCTTCCTTCTTCTTCCTTCTTCTTCCTTCTTCTTCCTTCTTCTTCCTTCTTCCTTTTTCTTCCTTCTTCTTCCTGTTTTCCTTCTTCTTCCTTCTTCTTCCTTCTTCCTTCTCTATCCTTCTTCTTCCTTCTTCTTGAACGCAACTTCACGGCCATCGCGGCGATCTTCAGAACCTTCACCTTGCCTGTTTTCGATCCACCTGATGAGTGGTTCGTGGCGCTGTGTCCCTAGCTGGCGCCACTGTGCTCGTCCTTGCCGTAAGTCCACATCGACGAGGTGCGTTGGATTACCTCCACCTTGACCATGAATCACCACACCAGCTCCACATCCGCCGCCTGTGCGGAAAAATCCATGAAGAAATTGCGGCCAGCAGCGGGCCTCCCCGCGACCGCCAAAGGCTTGCCAAATAGCATCCGGGCTATTCAGCGCATTCAAGATCTCGTGCGAATCTATCGCACAGCAAGAAAGCTTGAAGCGTCGCGGCGCTTTTCCATCGCAAAACAACGAGCTCAAGGGATCCGCTTCGGATCGGTTTGGGGAGTCAATGGCCATCGAACATGCCAGTGCGCAACGCTCCAAATGCCTCAGTCAGAGAAAAATTGGCACTGCTATGTTTTCTGTTTTCGATGGCCACCAGTTGCACAAAGGGTGCAGCAAGCCAGCGCTGAAAGCGCTCGATCAAGGTCACATCAACCTTGGTAAGGGCGTCAGCCCACATTGCATCCGTTGGTACCCATCGTACCTGTTCCTCTTTGAGGTAGTCCTGGATGCTCATCACAGTCACTATTGTTCGCTTCTCTGTGAGCGATGGTGCAGGGCTGATCACTGCGTCGTACAAGCTACGACAGTCTGTAGCTTGAAGGTGAGACATCTTTAACTGGTCGTTTGCGACCTCAGGCCAAAGGAGGTGCGTCATGAAGTAGTTCGTGAACACGCACCTGTCTGCGCATTCGTCCATGGCATTGGCTTCTGAGGCCAAAGTCGACCTTGTGACTCTTGGGCTCCTTGTGCTTTTCCAGTCAAGCACTGAAGCTGGGCACTTCTTCTGAGTGCATTCTGGGCTCGTCACCATCACGAGCACGCCCATTTGGGACTTGTGTCCCGGTGCATTTGCCCAGCTACTGTCGCTGTAGCCGACGATCGTGGTCGCCCGGTTCCAGGGCACTGGGTAGTAGCTAAGCCCCAAAGATTCAGTCAGCTTCACCACCTTGATGAACTCATAGAGCTCGGAGAGTTCCTTGGTGGTCGTTTCACGGCCCTTGTTGCTTAAGCTCGTGATTGCAGCTGCATCTGGACGTGTTTGTCCTGCTAGCCATTGGAGGCTACCGGTCACCGACCGAAATTCCTGCCACTCACTTGGTGTCAGGCTGGTGTGCTCCTTCTTCTTGATGGTGGGAGCGTCATCGATCTCCTTGATGAAAGCCTTTTGTGTCACTTGGAGCGTCGTGACACTACCCTTCTTTGCCATGCGGATCTCTTTGCCCCTGAAGACAATCTCGTTGTCGGGGTTGAGAGCAGTCTGTGAACCCCAGGTGAACGCTGCCTTGATTTCCTCAAGGTCGTAGTCCTCTCGGTGTGCCACCAAAAAGTCATCAACGTGCACAATGAGGATGACCTGGAGCAGTCCAGCTTGGTCACGCTTCAGGAACATCATCCGGTCATACCGGTGTTGCACCATCCTGAGGCCCAACAGGGTCTTGCACACATGGGTGCTCCAAGTCTTCGGAGCTGAGGAGAAGCCATATAGATTGCCCTGGATGAGGTACAAGTCATGAGGGAACGTCTGCGCTGCGGCTTGGATTCCATCTCTTGGTGGGCGCATCCACAGCCTCTCTGAGCGTTGTTCTGGAACTCCTTGAAGGAATGCAGTCTTTACGTCTCCAGCCCAGAGATGCCACAACATGGTGGTGTTTTCCACCAGGCGGTTCATTCCACTGCACGCTATCTGGAGCAAAATGCTTTCAGCGAGCTTTGTGGGAGTTGGAGATGCTCTGCTCATGCTTGCTAAATCTGGGTCGAAGTGGCCAAGGATGACCGTTCGACATTTGGCAATAATGTCGTTGATTGTTAGACCAGCACCTCTGTTCTTGTCGCGATAGGCATTTCGCGATGGGATCACCCTTTTCTTGAGCTGAGGGTGTGAAAGGATTTCTTTGGCCTCCTTGGGCTCCACTGGAACGACTCCGTTCCATTGCATCCAGCTCTTGTATTCCTTCTTGTTTGCTTCTATGTATAGCTGGAGCACCTTGGGGTCACCCTGAACAATGACACGCCAGGGGATTTCTCTGTCCATTGCTTTCCTCTGTTGGCGAGTCATCTTGGGCTCCTTGCCTGTGGATTCATCATTTGAGGAGCTCTCAAGGATGTCATCGTCCTTGTCTGCTTCAGCGGCCTTGGTTCTGTACACCCAAGAGGGTGTTGGTACGGGCATGTGCTCATTGGTGATTGGGCGGCCATCCCAATCTTGCGGCGGTGGTGTGAAGAGGACTGGTTCTCCGTCCTCCATGCTTGCTATCAGTGTTGCCTGTGTGGGAGCGTTGCCCTTGGTGAACTGTGTTGTCCCAATCCACCATTTGCCAAGGTCTTGCTGTGGTGCTGTGCTGTTCAACCAATTGTCGGTAATTGGTTGATCTGGTTGTCCATCAACGATGGGGTGTGTGGTTCTCTCTCCGGTAAGCTGTGAGGCTGGTACTGGAAGAGGTTCAACCTCGCCTGGTGTGCATAGACGTCTGCGGGGTTGTACATGGTGTCGGATAAGGTGACATCGGGTGTTCTGCCAGTAGTCTCTGTTTGTTCGTGTGTGTGTAACCTGCAGGGTTGTGGCTGGCTGTGGTTCCAATGCTTGTTCAGTCTGTTGTTCTGCTTGTTCTGCTGCTGCTTGTGCTAAGCTGCTGTCTGCATGCGCCTGCTGTGTAGTGTCGGTCATGTCATGTATGCTTGCTTGTGGGTTCATGCTCATATCCATGTCTGGTAGTTCAAGAGGTAGGCCTGTGGTAGAACCTGATGCTATTGCTTGTTGCGGCTGTGTTTGTATGGTGTGTTGCGCAACTGTTGTTGAGGTATGAGGTTGTACTTCTTGACGTCGCGGTGTCCGCTCGCGTGGGTGGTCGTAGAAGTGTTGCTGTATGTTGTGTGTTGTAGTCTGCTTGTATGTTGGTGAGTACACTTGTGGTAATGGTGGTGTTTGTGGAACTCGTGGTCCGAAAGGTTGCGCTGAGGCGCCTGCGAGTGGTAGACGTAGTGCTTGTGCTTCTGGTGCTGGTGGTGGCATGTCGATGTCTGTGAGTGGTGGTACTAGATCAGGTGGTCCGCCTGGTGTCTGCGGCGCGAGAACTGGTGCCATCGGCTCATCATCAGGTGGGCCTGGTCCTCGCTCATCTTGCCAAAGTCCATCGATCAGCCGGGTTCGAGCATCCTTGAGGCACTTGATGTCTTCATCTGACGGCACCCATCCTTCTAGGCCGAAG